GTGGTCCTCGACAACCTAGAGGAGTGGGCGGTGGAGGAGTGGGGGGGGGGGGGAGGAGCGGGCGGGCTGAGGGGTGGAGGGGGGTGGGGTGGAAGTGGTGCGCCTGTGTGGCGGCGTTGCCGACCCAGGAGCGGCGAAGGCGGAACGGCGAAAGAGGGGGAGTGGGGATTCGACAGCCTGCTCCTCGAGGTAGGCGAGCTCTGGGCTCTCGCGCACGCTCGGCGTCAAGGGCAGGCGGTGCGCCATCTGCGCCAGCCGCTGCCGCACAAACGACTGGAACTGTAGCATCTCGGCGCGCCCTCCGGTGCTGCGCTCCGTGTCCCGCGCCGCCCCGCCGCCGGCCCGCGCCGCGAGGTAGGAGGAGGCGGCGCCCGCGCCGCGCGGGTAGTTTCGCGCTCGGCGCGGCGTGCTCGGCGCCTCGTCGATCTCGCTCGTGTCGTCGCTCACCACCTCCGCCGCCGCGCCGGCACGCCCGTGCACGTTCGCGTTGGGATCCCACGTCTTGCGTGGGGCGGAGCAGAGCATGCGGCAGGCGGTCACGCGGCCGGCGCCGAGGTTGAGGCGTGCCATGCGGACAAGCATCGCGTATCGCACGGGATTGCGGAGGCCGAAGGGAAGAGGCGGCAGGCCGACAGCAGCAACTCGCACCGCGTGAAAAGTATTTCAAGTGCATATCTTATCGAGAATTTTACAACGAGAATTTTGAGACGAAAGAGGGGTCGCACACGGCAGGGGTGGCGGGACGGTTGTGGAGCGAAGTGGCAGTAGCCAGCCTCAAGCATCGATGGGATAATAAGATGAGATTACCAGACGAGAACGGGGGGAAGGACAGGCGGGCGACATTTGACGACGTCGGGGATCACAATGTGACGACCAAAACGATCCTGGGGGCCAGGGTGAGACAACAGGTCGGGGTGCCACATGGGGCACACCACAGGCGTATTCTAGAGGGGGAAAAGAAACGGGGAATGAGGGGCCCCTGCCGTAGATCACGGTGGTCCGGCTGCCGCCGCGACGGGTCTACCCCCGGTGGGCTCGTACGGCCCGGCTCCACCCGCAGAGGCCGAGTCAGCTCGACTCTCACCTCCCCTGACAGTTGACTCCAGGACCAGGCCTCACCCGGGGCCCTCCCTCCGGTCCCGGCCTTCCAGTCCGCTGGCTGACCCGCTATCTCCCCACGGCACCTCCCCCTCCTTGGACCCCGCCCCCGGGTACCCCAGCCTCCGACGGGGCGGATTCGGGTCCCCCAGGCTCCGCGCGGGTCGGAGCGGTGACGGCCACGCCGGCGGCGTGCACGTGTGAATTCTTCTCATTTGCAAATCTCTGGCTTGCTGCGCTCTCCTCGCCAGCCCCGCCGCCGCCGCCCGTCGTCGTGCCTCAGCATGCTCTGCTGCGCCTCGGCCTCGGTCGGACTCTCCCTCACGCCGCAGCCGCGGTGCGCTTACCAGCAGCCGGCCGTGCAGTGGCTGGCTCCGTCGTCCCGAGGCTCCTCTCGGACCGAGGCTCCTCTCATGGCTCCGAAGCCGATCTACCGCGGGCCACCCAAGGCGGCCAAGGCGGCCAAGGCGGCCAAGGCTCCGAGGAAGGCGGCAAAGGCGCCCGTGAAGAGGGCAGCGACACCGTCACGGGCGTCGCCGTCAAAGTCGCCGGCACCGTCCAAGCCCATGTTCGACTTCTTCTCGCCGCCGCCGCCGCCGCCGCCGCCGCCGCCGCCCGCTCCGCCCGGCCTCTTCGACTCGTTCCTCAAGCCTCCGCCGGCACCGGCACCGGCGGCACCGCCGCCGTCCGCGGGCATGTTTGAGTTTCTGAAGCCGCCGCCGCCGCCGCCGCCGCCGCCGCCGCCTCCTCCGCCCGGCCTCTTCGACTCGCTTTTCAAGCCGGCCGAGGCTCCGCCGCCCGCCAAGAGGGCCGCGCCGCCTCCGGCCAAGGCGCCTGCGCCGTCGCCCTTTGGCGGCTTCAAGCTTCCGGAAATGCCCGTACTCTCTCTGTCGACACCGGCGCCCGGCCAGGCAGGCAGTGCCTCGACACCGCCTCCGGCCAAGGCGCCTGCGCCGTCGCCTTTGG